TTTTAACTTCCTATTTAACTTACCAACTATCTTTCTGCAACGTGCAGGGAGGCTATTGAAAATCATTTAATTTCTTTTTTTTGTTTGTTTGTTTATTTTTCATCCAGATAGCAAAGTCCAGGCATAAGGGAGAATGGCTGTTACAAGTAATAGCCAAATGAGCTCTGGACAGTGACACCTTACAAATAGATCTGTACTCTTCTTGGTTGCTCAGTTTTGTAAAAGTGTAGGTTTTATGGATCTGAGAGCATTAGTTATTCAGAAATAACCCAGAAAAATCCCTGTCTCCCAAAGCACTTGGCAACTCAACAGCATAAACAGTCAAGGCTGGCATATAGTTGAAAACTCTGCTTCTCATGGCAAAATAAGAAAATAAAGAATCCCTGGACTGGACTAGGACAAATATGTCTTATGTTGCTTTGTATACTGTTCAGGTGCACTAAATCTCAGCATGAACAAACAGTATGATACAGTACTTTTAACCTTCAATTTCCATCTTCCCCATTTTCTTTCTGTGCAGGAGTTGCATTAATTTTAGAGATTGGTGTTTGGCAGGTGTCTGAGTGACTCTGTCATCAACTTTTCTGATTCATGTGATATGGGATAGTTAGTAGCTGAAGATAGATTTCTCGATCTGTGTTTGAGAGAGAACAGAAAGCACGTATAAAAAGAGGTAAATTCTATTCTCTGCCTTTATTGGTTTTGTATGCTAATACCTGAGAATTTATCACTTATTATGAAAAGTATTGTAAAATTTCTGGCTCATAGACAAGCGTTGCTTAAGAAAGACTGTTCCTCTCAAGAAACTTTGTCTATGTGCTACAACAGTATGATAGGCACACAGACTATCTGCCTGTACAAAAACCCAAAGCACAGCTAATTAATAGACTCACATGACTCCCATATTTTATGTAAGCACTTAAAGAGAACTCAGAAAATTTATAAGTGGTGTTTTTTTTTCTTTCATATAAATCACTTTAGAGAAACTGTATTATGGCAGCTAGGTTTAAACCTTAATCCATAAAAAAGTTATAAATAAGAAGTTATTCTTCTCTCTGCAGACTTTGATATTAAGAGACTGGGAGAAGAAGTACCAATCAAGGTACAAAAGATGAAGCAAAGAAAGTGTTACTACAGAGAGAGCTGATCTTCATAGCAGTATGTAGGGCAAATTTGGTAGCAAACTCAATTCCCTAAACTGCTTTGGAGCTTGAGTTGGGCAACATATGTGAGCTGAGTACTGGGTAAACTGGAGAACAGTGTGTCTTCAGCATTACAAACCTTGTGAGAGAAGATAGTAATTTGCTCTTACAATAAATACAGACAGCATAATTATGAAATCTCATCACAGTAACAGTTCTTTAAAAAAAAAAAAAAATGACTCTTCAAAAATATAAATTAAATTCAGTAGACTGGATGAACACAAGCATGATGCAGTAAAACATAAAGAACAGTAACATAAAATGTCAAAACATGACCAGCACCTGAGCTTCATTGAAATCTGACTAATGATACAAGGGTTAGTTGACACGATGCCCCATCTTTGAATCAAAATGTGATTAGGAAATTGTAATATCTTTAGACCACATTCTAAAGTGCATTTTTATGGCTTGTTGTGGGGTAGCCTGTATCTTGCATTCTGGCTACACAGCTTCCAAAATCAGTGTGCTCACATAAGTTCCGGACTGAAATCTGTTTTCATAACGCAAGCAGGAAAGTATTATTAAAGCAGTAGAATATTTTAATTAATTTACAGAGACTTCTGTCCCGCTATTATTATTTTTTTTTTATCTCTTTAAGTCTCCATGTCTTTATTACTATACTTTCAGAGGCCTCTGTTAGCCTCATTCTGGTCTTTGGGACTTTGGTTAGTGTTGACTGTTCCACATGTGTTTGCACCAAACGTTCCTCTGTGTTTTCAGCTAAATTCATTATCTTATAAGTCACCATATGAAAACATAATGGACTTTCTAGAGCAGGCTTTGTACGTCCGTTTTTTCTCTTTATGCTGTATGCATTCAGCTACTGTTACCACAAATCTAGATGAGTGCTAATTGTAGCTGAACTGAGCCTTGGGTTGTAGCTTAGTCAACAATGTTCAAGAGGGAGATGGGATTTACAAGTAGGGAGCTTGTCTTTTACCTGGGATTTCCAAAACTTCAAGCTGAGTCATGTTCATGACACAGGATAAACCTTGTGCCTCTCATGGCCCATAGGGATGTAGCTGGCACTTGCAGACGTGGCTCTTTGAGATGGATACTATCAGTAAGCTTTGTTGTTAGTGACATTGCTATAAATTCTATCATGATAAACCTAAAGGAACCTATTGTTTCTTTCAAATGAGGAACCACTATTAAAACATAGCAGAGATATTCCTGATTGAAGTACCTAGTATTTGTTCGCTATTCCTTTTCTTAAAGGAGATCTCCTTTCTTGCTTTGTCTGCAGAAATGTTTTAAGTAAGTATCAATATTTGAACTAAAAGCTAGATTTATTTCAATGTTGTTATCGAAGTATTTTATTAGGGAGACGCTGAGACACCTAAGGATGAAAAAGTAACATGACGGTGCTTAATGTTTCTTAGCATGGATATTGTGCCCTTGCTTTCTTCAGCTGCAGGAATGGTGAGACGAAGTGAAAGAAAGGGATTTTAAATCAACTTCTCTGCAGCAGGCAAATAGAATTGCTAAGGCAGAGAGGGCTGAGGGACCAGGGGTAGAGCTATGCTTTATGGCTGGTGTGTGCAGGACAAGGAGAAAATTATAAACTTCTCCAGGTTTGTTCCCTGATGAGAACATCTGGGAGTTCTAACCTTGTAGTTCTGCAGTGCAATAGTGGGAGAACAGTTTTTCTTTCTGTCAGTTCAATGCAGCACTCAAACCTCAACAGACTTTCTGGTGCTCTGGTGATGATGAAAAGGTAATGTGAGTGTTAATGGCAATAATTCAAGTGCCTGTCTCTATGCCTACCTCTGAGCAAGGTCTGAGGGCAGCTGCTTGGGTGAGGGGAGGTTAGTTAGGAGTTAAGGAGCCTACTGATTCCATGAAAAGAAGGATATAGGTATCTATAGGTATCTATAGGTAGTCAGATAGGGTTGGTTGAAATACCAATTTGAGCATTTGTAAAGGATAGCAGTGAGAATAAATTATTAAATTTTCTTTATTGCATTAGTTAGATCTTTGGTCTCATACTTGAGGGAGGACTAAATACATTTGCATCTTTTTTTTTCTTTCTGGATGCGCTGTGATGAAACATTATTTTTCTTCAAGGTTTTTTCAACTAAAGCAGCCTAGGGTAGACTTTATGGAAAGGTTGCAAAGACCATACTTACCTGTGTTTATTCATGTTGAGCAGTATCCAAGCCTGATTAATTCCAACTCGTAAAACTAGTTTCAATTCAGTTGCGATAGGAAAATTGGAATTAAACTTATAAAGTTGAAATAGCCAATGTTGTTTTAGAACTAACAGTAGGGTGTTGACAGCTATAAAGATGTTTGATAAAGATGTTTGAAAAACACTATAGTTAATGTTTCCATACTTATCTGCTTTACAGTGTGGTCCATTCTCTCATTTTCACTAGTGAATTATTTTTGCTTTGTAGTTCATAAATTAGTAGAGAGACAAAGCTGTAAAAAATATTGCTTTAATGCTTGACATCTCAGCATGCTCTTAACACTAAAATGTCAGCTGATTTGCCGGCTATTAACGTAGGACTGCAGATTTCCATTAACACATTGAACTAGATCTGCAACAGCAGATAAAAGTCCCCTTTGAAAGAAGAAAGAAAAACTTCAGAGAGGGTCATTGCCTAAACACAGGAACTAAATTAACTGGAACAAAAGAAAATTCAGAGCTTCTTCCAGAAAGCTTACTGCACTGCTACACTTCATTCTTAAAGGATAAGTCTTAAACCCAGATATTTATTGGTTGCTTGCTGTTTTCTCTATTTTTGTTTTGACACGTATTCTTGCACAAATGATCAGCCTGTAGGGAAGTAACATTTCTTTTGTATAGAGAGTAACAAATGTTAAGAGGCACTGGAGCAGGGCAGTGGTAGTAGCACTGGGCCTCCTGGAGTTCAAAAGTGTTTGAACTCTGCTCTCAGACATGGGCTTGATTTTTAGGTGGTCCTGTGTGGAGCCGGGAGTTTGACTTGATGATCCTTCAAGGTTTTAATTCACTAACCATTTCAGATAAACACAAAGGGTACAGATTGGTCCTTTGTTTCTGTATTCTGGACCTCCCAAGAAAGCACCTTACTCAGAGTGCTTAACAGACTTACTGGGCTGCACAAAGCAGGTACATACCAAGTGCTACAGTAGCACCAATTGCACAGTTCTGCTGCCACAGTGCATCACAAATACCTGTCCTTTTCCTCACTCCATGCAGCCTTATGTGTTTTACTCAGCTTGGTGGGAGTAATGGAGATGTTCACACTAGTCCAGTATTGAAGTTGCATGAGCATACAGTGCAGCTTACAGCTTATGGATACAGGCTTTATAGCAGCTCAGAAACATCACATGCCATTTGGTAACTTGAGTCTCCTTGCAACATCTGACTGAGAATGACACATTTAACTGGAAGATCAGCACACTGAAGAAGCTTGGTCAGTTGACCAGCAAAGACTAATTTCTCCTGTTGGAAAGGTCCTTCAATTCAGTAACAGAAGAAAGCGAATGTGCATGAGAATGGAACATGAAAGAGCATTTCAGGCACACAAGAAACATGAGGAACAGGGTGGCTGGAAGTATGATGCTATGGAGGGAAAGGTGGTTATTTTCCCAGGAAAGGAAGAGCTGCAGCAGAGACATTGACATCTGAAGTGACCAAACTAGTCAAACTGGTGGTCTACTTGAATGAAACCATGATAGAGATATTTTGTTATCTGAATTTGCTCATAACTTACTACTTGTTGTCAAAGAGAAATATATGCACAGAAGGAGAGGAGTTGTAAAAGATTTTTTTCTGAAAGCTGTCTGGGAAGTAAAATGAAGAAGACAATGGACCAAGGAATCTCCATAAATCTGCTTCTACTTCATGAATTGAAGCTTTGAATTCAATCTTCAGTTACAGGGAGAGTCCAATCTCCATTTAAATGATTATTTCTGTCTTACATAATTCAGTGCTAGCCTTTGGATGTTTGCACTCCTATGTACATATGTGTACTCTGGCAGTAAGCCATAGTCACTCACTCACAGTGATGGGAGTCAGAATTCTCCTTTACTGTGCACTCCATCTTGTCAATGAGACAAAGGTCCTGAGGAAAATAAGAAGGTTTGTGATCACACCAGCAACATTTGAAGTACATTATATATGAAAGTTGAGCTGTTATTTCATATGCAGCTTTCAATCTTGCATTTCATACTTCTGTACGTTCAGACATTGCTTTGTTATTTTGATAATAGGTGCCCTTTTTTTTTTCTTCTTTTTTCTTTTCCAAAGAAGTGCTATAAAGAAACCCCTTATTTTACATGCATCTCTAACGAAGTGTCTTCCCCTTGATTCTTCAGCAGCCTTGCCCAGCTAGACTTTGGCGCTGTGTAGATTCACTGATATCAAGGCTCTTCACTTATTTGAATGAAGGAAAATATCAGTGAAGAAACAAGGACAAACTGTAGAGTTGTCAGGACATTATCAGAGAAAGTCCAAGGAGGTAGACTCCTCCTGGTCGCTGAACCTGATTCATTGCTCAAGTTTGTCCTTACATTAGATTTTTCTTGTTCCTACACTGTTTTGTCAAGATAACAGCTGATAAAAGACAACTCCAGAAATCTGTCTGCTAAGCCTAAGTAAAAGGCTTTTTTTTACTGATAGTGTTTCCTCTAGGTGAACTATAATAGACTGTCATAAAGAAAAAGGTTTCAGATTTTTTGAGGAAGGTTCACAACAATCACAGAAAACATTAAAAAATTAAGTGTAGTATATAAAAAATAGAAGTTACTTTCAGATTTAGCTAAAAGTCATGAGGTGATCATGTCTTTATGTTCACTTTTGAACCCTTCCTCTGTCCACCAAATAAACTTACTGCTTAGTGAGTCTGCTCATTCCACATTTTGTACATGTTGAATAAGCTCTAGAGAATCCCTCTAGGTGAAGATAATTGTTTTTCCTTTTCAGGAAAAGGGTGTCTTTCTCTGCCAAAGAACTAGAAGGAAAAAAACATTATTTTGTCATTGCCTTCTGATATTTTTCCACACTTCTAACTAAGAAGAGAAGGGAAACCCTCTGTGAATGCAGTAGATCCAGTGCTTTTTGAAAGCATCATGGGGATTATTCAGCATCTTGATAGCACTGAGATGTCTGCAAATGTCTGGAACTTCTCTTGCTGTGTTAAGGGACATTAGGATCATGGCTGCCATCTCCAGCACCTCTGGTTCATGGACTTCTGCCTGACTTGCTGGACTTGTAGAGTCCAGACTGGTGCTTGGGATCTCTGGACTTGGAGGACATGGCTGCCATTTTCTTACTTGCATGTTCGTTCAGCATGCAGCAAAACTGAGCATATGTCCCAGAGACATGCAGACAAGGCTGATCATACAAACAGCTACAGACAAGGTGCTGCCTTCAACAGCATCCACCCGTGGGATCCACTCTTCAGGCTGATGCATGCACGTTTGTGGGTCCCTTGAGTACTGGCAGGTGCCCACTGTCCACCCAGATCCCAGACTCCTTACCTACTTCATGAATCACCTACACACAGGCTGAGCTTGAAGCTTGCTGCAACAAGATGGTGGCTATGTTGACAAATAGTGTTTCATAGCTGAAAATTTGCTGTATCAAATAGTGTCATTGTGCTCTTTGTGTCTGTTTCCATGCAAGCTACAATAGAAGCCATTACTTGTGGAGCAATTTACATATACATCTCATGCACACTGAGTTAAGTTACAGACACTCAGCCCCTTAGTAGCTGGCACCGGGGCTGGGTTCTACTGCCCAGCTCCAGCCACTGATGTGGAGCTGCCCTTGTCTCAAGCTGGTGCCTCCCTAGAACTGATTTTTAGGACTAGAATCACTCCTGCTGCTGGTGGTGAGAGAAGCCTAGCTGGGGTGGAAACCCTGCCTGCTTTAGGAGCTGATGCTAAGAGCATCCCTATATTTGTGGTGAAATGTTATAATACACAGTTAAGAAAAAATTTAATAATAAGACAGGATAGACTGCAGTGACTACCTGCAGGGCTCAGTCAGCCGAGTACACTGACCAGGCCCCATTTTACATGACTGTTTTTTATCCTTTTTCATCTGTTCCTCCCCATTTATTAACCCTGCACTGTCCATCATTGGTGTATACAGTTCCGCAAACCCCCAACTCCCTGAGCCCCCAGGTTTGCATCCTTATCAGTTGCAAAGTCCTGTTTGCATGCATTTTCTTGATTGCCTTCCAGTTGGTGTCAGACAAATGTTTATCTCCTAGTTTTCTCCATGACATTTGCCTGTCAGACTTGTGTCTATACGTTTATTGCTTCCTCTTGCTTTTACTAACTCTTTTTAAAATGAAGAAGTCATTCACTTCTTTGACATTGACCCTTTAAGGAGCATTCCCCTTCTGCATGGACTTAGGGGTTGCATTTAGAGATGCCATAGCAGAGAGTAACTATGTGTAACTATGTCCTTGTGAAAGCAGCCTCTCACGGTCACATGGCAGAACAAAGAATGAGTTAGCTTCCTGAAAAGTTAAAATTTTTTTTTTTTTTTTTTTTTTTTTTTTCTGGTCAAATAGCTTTCCTTAGCAATGAGAAGTGGAGTTGGCCCATTAATTATGAAATACCCTCCAGATTCTAGCTTTAACAGTAGGACTTAACGGTACAGTCATTAAAAGCAGAGAAGCATTTCTAGAAGTAAGTGGGAATCTTCAGTGTCTCAGTAAGTTTAATGAGCGTGGGAAGAAAACATAGATTCCAATGAACTGTACATTATGAGCCATGTTAAATTCAAGCTAAGGTTTTCAGCAGTGCCACTGTGTTACTGTGAGTCCTTTCAGGAGGGGGCACAATAAGTGCCTACTCACCTACACCCCTTTATTCATGATATGCTGTATTTTTTTATTTATTTTTTTCCTTTTTTCACATTTGTCACATATCTACTTCTTTTTTTCAGGTCAAAAGGTGTGCTATGGTGGCTTCAAGCGTTCCTGCTACAAGATAGCTTATTTCCAGGACCTATCTAGACGCGTGGGCTTTCAGGAGGCCCGCCAAGCTTGTGAAATGGATGGCGGGGCTTTACTGAGCTTGGAAAGTGAAGCTGAGCAGCAACTAATAGAAAACATGTTACAGAACCTCACTAAGTCAGGCTCTGGGATTTCTGATGGTGATTTCTGGATTGGATTGTGGAGAAGTGGTGATGGACTGACCACCTCCAGTGCTTGCCCTGACCTCTACCATTGGGCTGATGGAAGTATGTCACCCTTCAGGTAATTCTCTAAAGCTGCTTATTGAGCAGGTATAATGGAAACAAATGAAGAGTGAAATGTCTGGTAAAAAAAAAAAAATATCACAGAATTGTAAAATCACAGAAGGGGTTGGGTTGGGAGGGACCCACTTGCTGCCCTATGAAGTTAATAGCATAACTCCTTAACTTCTCCAGCCAAGGGAGAGCTGGCAGCCAGGGTTTTGAATTTTAATCTGTGAAGGGATGGCATAGGAGATGGCAGCCTACAATTTTCTTTGCTTCCATTTCAAATAAATTCTGCAAGACTGGCCACCACAAGTCAAGCAGCTAGCCAGCAAATAAATTAATGCAGGTTGCTTAATGCAAACTGTTCTGTTTCTACACTGTCTTTTGAAAAAGCTTTAATTTCATGATTAAGCATAAGGCCAGAAAAACAGCAGCTCACAGGCCTCAGGACAAAGGGGATCTGTTAAGAGTCAAATAGGAATGAAAACGAGTAAAAGAGCAGTGTTATTTCTAATAGAATGTTATTTATACAGTGATGGTTTTGATCAGAACTTTAAGATCCAGAAATTTGCAGTCCGGGTTTTAAATGCCTTTTATAGAGGTGTTGTGGGAAATGCTGTTAATCATTGAAGAAGATGAAGTCACTTTTTTTTATTGATATTAACTGTTCTCCTTGATATTCTGATTAATTTTATTGTCAAAATTTGAAAGTTTTTATTTATTTACTGCTAGAAATTGGTATACAGATGAGCCTTCCTGTGGAAGTGAAGCCTGTGTTGTCATGTATCATCAGCCAACTGCAAACCCTGGTCTGGGAGGGCCGTATCTTTATCAATGGAATGATGATAGATGCAACATGAAGCACAATTTTATCTGCAAGTATGGTCCAGGTAGGTGAAACTAAAGTCATCTCTCACAGATGGGGTTTTTCCTTAGAAAATCTATTGCCTCTTGTTTTGTGAAGGAAGCTGCAAATGTTTTCTGGCCGCACTATTAGACTTGTCAATGTTACCGATTCCTTTGGAGAGTGAGTGACAGAGCTGACATTAATTGGAGTTGCAATTTATCAAGGCTAGTGGTGTTTTAAGTAAAACTATCTGTGTTAAAGAAGAATGTTTTTTCAAGATTCGCTATCTTTCCTTCTCAGGATTACACTGATTTAATTTATTTACTAGTTTACTCTTCAAAAAATTATTCTAAACGGCCATTTTTTCCTTTCCCTACTTGCTCTCATGTAGGATGGTCAAACCATCTCTTGATCCTACCACAAAAATTTAAGCCGTTTTTGCAGTTTCGTACCTCTGAAATTCTGTATCAACTTATATATGATAATTATTTCTAACAGTATTGTTTTAATGAAAGAAAGAACGGTAGGAAAAAAAGTCTTCATCTGCAGATGGTGGCAGAAAAAACCCAAGTCTTATGCGATGTACTTCAGACATGATATAGGTTCAGCAGAGGAAATGTGAACTATGAACTAGAATACTGTGCAATCAGTAAAAAGACATGAGAAGTAAACTTTGAAGTTGAACCTGTAACAGGTTTTGCTTTTGATGGTACCTACAGAAAATCAAACCATGTTTTTCAGCAGGATCATGCACATTTCTTCAAATAATATATAGTGTTTTTGCTTTTCAAAAACTAAGCTCCAAGTCAGAATTAATATAAAATCCTACTTTTAACAGCTGTTTAACCCACCAAATTCTGTGTAATTTCCTACCTGCTTTTTCTGTATTCATGATCTAGTAATGATCACAGTCATTGATCCAGGCTATTTTCTTCCACCAGCTTTCGTGGATAGACAGTTCTCTCATTGGCTATTGCCATAATGGCATTTTTAATGCCAATTAATATTGTAAGTAGATATTAAATACTTGGAAGGCTAGATATATCCACATATTTCACAACTCTACTCTCCAAAATCTGTTACTGCTTCTAAAATTAGTAATGACTATTGTTGTCTTACGGCGATCAGTGATCATCTCAGTCACATGAGCCATTCAAGGAATTGTGACATATAAAGCCTTACCACTTCTACAGCTGATCAAAGCTGATTTGAAATAAGAGAATAAAACACGTTTTGTTATTAAAATAACAATACTTTTTGTGTCAGAAAATGCAGGTTGGATTAAAATAGTGCAGTTTTGAGTATATTTCATGACTTTAAAAACTCGGAAATGTAAATGAAATCATCATTCCACAACAGCAAACTACTTACCATTCTAGCTACGGTGTGATAAAGATTTATTAACTTCTATTGCTTTCTCCATTAAAAAAAACAATGCTGGGTGTTTGGGGTTAGCAGAAAGCAAAAGGATAAAAGTAACAAAGAAAATGAATTTATATTTCTTTCACCATGTAGAAATAGGTTACTCTTGTATAATAAGGAACATTGTATCAATAACGCAAACAATATATACATAATTATTAAGATTGGCATTGTTATGTAGCTAAATACAGTACTGCAAAATTGTAGCTATTTACCTTCCATGCTGCTGCAATTATGCTAGCTAGCAAAACAGACTATTCTCCAGAAATGTATTTTTGTATCACATGGAGGAAAAGAATAGATGTATAAATGCATATAAATGGGTATATAACATTTCCTTCATTACCTAAAGGTAATACCATGGTGTAAGAAAACTACATATGCTACCTAAAACCCATACGTAAGACTTATGAAAAACCTCGCTTTCCTCTCCAAATAGCTCTAATAACTTAAACTTCAGCTATTTACTGCAACACTGCCAGTTTACTAGTAGTATTACAGTGGCACACAAATATTGAATTTCACTTTATTATGTAAATGTATTGTTTTTCACAACATTATCATCTGTTTAGAATATATGGTGTAGGCCAAAATGGAAAGGTTGTAAGTGGCGATGACAAAGTTGTGCCTAATTTTACTAGCAGTAGGTTCAGGGCAGTCCTTCATTAGGCATTCACACTCAAGCATGTTCAAGTCATACATTCATTTTTTAACCATGCTGTTGCAGTGTTTGGTTTGCTTTTAAATGATATTGATCATTCGGTGATCTTGAATTTCATTATAGGTTGATAATAGCAACTGCATTTTTTCCCGTCCATCTCCTGTATGTTTGATTATGCTATCACATTAAAAACTCATCTTCTTGTCTACTATCTAGAGTGATCAATTCAATTTTCAGTGGTGTTTTGATATCTTTCTTTACTTATGGCCAAATATGACCTTTTGCTCTAGTAGGTGTTTATGCCCCCTTGATTTCTCTCAGCATTTTGTGATAATGAGGACACTTAGAACTGCAGGCTAGTAGCACTATTATATAGACATATTGACATAACATTAATTATTTTATCCCATCAATCATGCAGATTCCACTCCTACGCTCATCCTTTTGAAATGAGATTATTATTTCTGTAATCTTCATAAAATTTTAGCTATAATGGTCACTATAAGTAAACTTGCAAACCTCCGCAGTGCAGCTCAAAGCCATGAATTGCTCCTCTGGTTTCTTACACATTACAAGGAATGTGATACTATCCTTTGCCTTTTGGTAATTTCACTTCCCTATGTATAACGTTAGAATTCACTACCCATTACTGTTTTTTTAAGTCTGAAATTCTTTAATTATTATATTTAAAAAATGAATAGATTTAAGTATTAATCAAGAACACTTCCTCTTATATTGCCTTAGTATCATCTATGTAAATGAAACTTTGGATATGTTAAGAGTCTTATTCAGCAAAAGAATTAAAAGATTCAGTAATTTTGTAATAATTTAGCAGATGCCATCAAGAATTGGAACTAGAATGAACTGTAACCCTTTTCTCAGCAGAGGAAAATGTATGAAGTAGAAGAAAATTTACTCTAGTTTGCAAATAATCATTGGTAATGCTGCTGAAAAATTAAGCAACTATTGTTTTGGAGGATAAATCTATTTCTGTGATGCTGCATGCAAAATAATGAAAGTATCTGTTTTATTACACACATTCTTTCTTCAACGATTGATTTCAAATATTGATTTAACAGACAATGTCTTAGAAAAAGAATTAGGAGACAGAGCAGAGCCAGATTACGGTAAGAAATTTTGAAACATTTAATTGAATTGCAATAATAAATGTGTAATGATAAGAATAACTTACAGGAACCTGCAAAATTACTTAAGTTTATCAGGTATAGGCTAGTACTGGAACATATGAAAGATATATCTTGGAGACTAATAGTGAATATGGCTATCATTCACATACTTCTGGTCATAATTCCTGTTCCAGATGAAATCCCAATTTTGCAACAAAATCCTATTTACAGATTTACTTCTGTCAGTTTAATCCAGAAAAATTTCTTTTTTCTAATAGAAATTAAAATGTAATTGTGGTTAAATTTTTAAACAGTGTAACAGCTCTATTTTGTGCATGTTGATTTCCTAACAGGTCTGATATTCTTTTTAGGGATTTTTCCAACGGTGCCAGCAGGAAATCCATATGACACAAACAAACCAGAAGATCAGTATCATGTTATAGCCACTGAAACAGGTAATAAGAATGTAATGATATGCTAAGAACATTTAACAGTAGACTTATTTAAATTATTAATAATTTCCATTATTGTCAGTGAGAAGAACAATCTATTGCCTCAGGAGATGCTCTGAAGAATTCTTTGAATAACAGCTCAAGAGTTCTACTTTGTCCTGTTTGTAGCTCTGGAAATAAAATATTTCCACGTATCCCCAAATTTTGATCCAAACCTTTTAATGGCAGTTCAGCAGCCATTAAAATCTGCAGTGATGCTGTGACCCCAGTGATCTCTATGAAGATACAAGATTTCACTAGCTTTCATCCAGCTATGGAGGATCTCCATCTAGAGCTATGATAGCGTTGGTTCTTTGCCTCCTATTCTCTTCTCCTACAAGTAACACAAGGTACATATCTGTTATACCTTATACCCAGGGATCACAAAGAAGGCACTAAGGAATCTTTCCTAACAGATAGGGCACAGAGTTCTCACTTATCTGTTGAATAAGCCCTGTGTCATGCATCTCCCAAGAACCTCATGTTTTAAGGAATGCTAAATGCTGAGTGGGAGCTTGCTGTAATGCTCTTGGATGCTCACTTAGCAAATTATGTCTTGAGCAGAGTCCTGCTGTTCTTGAAGGGTTGTAGCAAGGCCTTAATTCAAGGAACTGCACGTCTCCAGGGTGCAACTCAGGTTCTCACACGATACAGCATGGTATTACGGAAAGTTGGCACTCCCTTTCTGCACTTACTGGTTGGATTTGAGCCAGTTTCCTAACTGACTGTTTGCACCTCCAGGGGAATAGACATATTGATGAACTCTATTTTGAAAATGATGCAAGTATTTTCTACAAACTGTACAAAGACTAATACAAATAAAGAAACCTAGCCTGAACATTCACATTTATTCTTGCACATACAAATATTTTCAAAAGAGCACAATGGATAAGAAAGTCTCCATAGTACGTACCTTAGGTGTATACTGTTATAAAACATTGGCATATAGTTACTAAGAAACATATGCTTCCTGCAATCTGTAAGCCCCATGTTCTATTCTAGGCAGATAACAGAGTAATTTTGCTTTTGCAAAATTTGCTCAGGGATCTGCAGGGAAGCACTTTTAGCTTTTATCTGTCTTCATGTTAGCTGAGGACATTTTATGTATGTCTTTCAAGGGGAATTGGGAGAAAGAGCAGGGGTTGTTTCTTTAGTAGTCCTGTGCATCTGGAATCCAGTATATAAGAGTAACTAAGTCAAAAGGTTATATGTATTGCAGAAATAATAGACTAGAAATGTACTCTTTTAAATACTTGAATTTTCAATCACAAGTTTGGAAATCTTGTACTGACATACAATGGAAATGTCAAAATTTAAAACCTTAAGGTATGTTTTACATTTCACTGGGGAAACTATTTTATTATTGATTTTATTGACTCATCTTTTCCTGGCTTTTCCTATAGAAGGAATACATAAACATTCTGTGTAAGATAATGTATTTTTGATAGTTTATTCCAGACTTTTACTCACATTGTCAAGAGTATTTCAACATGAGAGGCATTAATGAGAACTTTTTGTCTTGTAGGTATAATTCCAAATCTAATTTATGTCGTAATACCCACTATACCACTACTACTGTTAATACTGGTGGCTTTTGGGACTTGCTGTTTCCAGATGCTTCATAAAAGGTAAAATACACTAATTGAAACTGGTCTAACAATGCAGAATTCATGTTTCCATTGGCAAGCTATTCATACTGAAGGACTGCTTACACCTCCAAGTATGCAAATAAGCATCTTATCATCTATTAAAATCCAAGTAGTTTACAGCTGCTAGAGCTGAACATTCACCTTCAGGCTTTTCCAGAATAAGCTGAAAGAATTCCAGGTCTCTCTAAGTATATTGCCCCTATGACTTCACTTGTTTTGAAGAAGATATCTTTGCTGACCATTTGATCTGCTGAGTCCCTGGCAGCAGTTTTACTTCGCATTTTCCATCACGATTTGCCTCCTATGTAGTTTCTGGGCTTTAGGGAGTAATAGTGGGATCCTCACTGATACAGGGCAGACTCAAGGACTCACCTCATTTTCTGACCAAAATGCTAGTTTGTTCTGAGAGGGACCAGGAGCTGCTTCAGTGCACATCCCATAAGATCACGATGATTGGTGCGGGCAGATTGAAAACAAACAAACAAAAAACTTGTTTTGAGCCACATGCCATTGCCACTTCTTTGTACATCATTTATCTGTCAAAGATGATAAAATGAAGGGATATGCATTGATAGAGATAGGGTCAAACAGCTGCTTCATTATGTAAATAGGAAATATTTCAGCCAGTGGAAAAGGATATGTTTTGATTCACACTTTAAATACTTCTTGACATTTCTTCTTTCTCAAAAATATGGTATGCCAAGATATGAAAATATGCAAGTAATTTTTTTCTCAGCTAATCTTTCTGAAACTTTCAAGGACTTTTTTCATTCTGCATTATTTTCACAAAGTGTTAATGTACCCTAGAGAAGTTTAAACTGAAGTATTTCAGACAGGACAAGGGGAAATGGTTTTAAACTGGAAGAGGGTAGATTTGGAGAGGGTAGATAGACTAGATATCAGGAAGAAATTTTAATGGATAAAAATTATTTTGGTAAAGTAACAGGAAGAACAATGAACAGATTCACAGGCTCTGTTATCTCTCTTGAAGTGCAGCAACATGGACAAATTTGACATCATAGTTGTAAGAAATTAGAAATAAAAACAAAAAAATCCTCCTTTTTCTTTCTTTCTTTCTTTCTTTCTTTCTTTCTTTCTTTCTTTCTTTCTTTCTTTCTTTCTTTCTTTCTTTCTTTCTT